CTCCTCCACCTCCTTTTTCTTCTTCTCCTCCTCCTCCTCCTCCTCTCCCTCCCCCTCCTTCTTCTTCTCCTTCTTCAAGTGCCAGGTTTGAAACAAAACATCTGTAATCATGGTTTGACACTAATTTCTCTGCTCTGATGCTCCCAAACAACCTATGTGATCTGTGTCTTCTCCCTTCACCTATCTGCTCAAGATCTCTAAGTAAATTATTCTTATAATCAACCTTTGCCTCTTTTACCTTTTATTTTTCCAGTGAGAGCAAGATGCCCAGTGCCTCTATGTTGGTTCTAGCGTTCAAGGAAACTGTCTTTGTCTCTTCCTAATCACTTTTGTTAGTGTCCATCCTATGCACTTTCCCTGTCTCACCACATCCTCCGTTGTGGCACGACTTTTCTGGATAGGGAAATATAAAGTGCCTGCAACTGTTCTCTTTGTGAAAACTCTTGGTGAGAGGTTAAACCTCTTGATGACCATGATGTTGTGAACCTGCTGCTTGTTCTGTTTGACAGTCTACATTCTCCTTTTTATATATTATGTGCTTTCAATATACGGTATAACATGGACAGCTTGAATTCGTAGGGACCGGCCTCGGTAGTTCGAGGGATGCGTAGTTCGAGGGATATCTTACAAAGATAAAGAAGAAGAAAAAAAACGGGGCCACAAGCACAGTTAGATGAATGCGTGATTTCGAGTCTACCGTGTTCGACCTATCCATGCTATACTGTATCTCTTACAAATTGTAAATTTTTATGCATTAAAAAAAAATGTTTGCTCAATCTGTTCTAAAGTTAGAATAATCAGTTAAACTGTTGTTTAATAGTCCTGATTTTTTTTCTTTAATCAGAAGCTCAGCTACATCCCAATGACTTTCTGAGTCAGCTCGTATAATTATTTTCTAATTGTTCTGTCACATGGGGCATGAGGATGTTTTGCTCAAACTGAAATTATTCTTCTTTCTTAATGGTGGTAAATCTACAGTGCCAATGAAATGTTCTTTTAGAGAGGTTACAAAATTACTCGTGTGCTGCAGATATTATGATGCTTTGTTCCTAGTGAAATATTCAGTACCTGTCTCTTTACATAGAACGATGGTGGTATTGGTTGTAACCATGTGAATGGAAGAAATAGGTCAACTCTATTTTTAATTTGTTTTTGTTTGGGGGGGGGTTGTCAGAGGTCAGGGTTCACAATAAAGAGTGTAGAAGTACTGTGGTCTATCTTTTGTGTCTTCTCTCATCAGAGGGTTTGTTTATTATGCATGTTGAAAATATTTTAAGAAACCAGTCACATGTTTAGAGCAAAACGCCTTTAACATAATTGTTTGACTTATTATGGATTTTCTGCTCCTGGTGCACTCTTTACTCTGCTGTCCCGTCGTTTTATGCACACAAAAATTCTGAAATTATGCAAACTGAGCCCAAGAATGTGAAATTATGCGATTCTGTTAATTTGATCAAAGAATGATAATGGAAAATAATCGGAAATTGTGCAAAAAATGATCAAATTTTGCTAAATTATGCGGGGTGCATAAAACCACGGGGACAGATTTTGGGAAATTAAAATGCTAAGAAAGAAAATAGACATACATATGTGGTTTCGAAGTAAGGTGTTTCGATTTGGCTCGCAAAAGACCTGAGTTCGATTCTTGTATGAGGAGAATTTTAATACAAAATCATGGTCGTTGTCCTGGGACGTTGTTTCCCCCTCAGTCTGGGTCGGCCCTGACAGACTCTTTGCTTCCAGCCTCCTAATTAATCCAAACTGCATCTATGAGGGTGTAAAATAACTTACATTTTAAAATGAGGGGGGAAAAAAACCATCATCCCTATCCGATATGTCATTATTTTTTTTCTTTGTGCCCCAGCCATCCTCTTGTGGTCAAGATGAACACGTTGAAGGATTCGGATCCAGTGCTGGCCGGTCTCCTGGCTGAGCAGGTAAGTCCGAAGTCTTGCTTTGTTTCTCCTCATCGTCCTTGGTGGCACCACTTCGCTAGAAAGTGAAATATTATTAATGTCTGCAACTGTTCTCCTTGCGAAAATCCTTTGGTGAGAGGTTGAATTGCTTGATGACTAAACACTATGAACCTGTTCATTATTTTGTTTGTGTTTGACAGTCTGTATTTTCCTCTTTTATTTCTTTATTCTGTGCTTTCCATATTTTTCTTTCAGCTTTTCAGTTCTGGAATTACAACCTGATTTGTGTGATAGCTGCTAATCAGTTTTCTGTATTTGTTATCTGACCCATTGAAATTTGAATGGGCTGTGGTTGTGGTGGTGGCGATTTGGGGGGGGGGGGGGGGGGTTGCCACTGATTGGTCTATTCTGAATTTTTTGGAGCTGTGTGTGATGGTTGTTGGTAATCTGGTATGGTCTGCTCCTTTCACTCCTTTTCAATGTTGCTATTGTTGCTATTTCTCCAATCTGCTCCAAGCAGAAAGTGGCTGCTACTACTTTGATACATGTGCTAGGTTTGCGATCTGCAACCGAAAAGAACCTAGAGCTTTTTTTTTTTTTTCGACGCACCCCACTTAATAAATATTTGAATATCTCATTCTGCGAGCAATACAGCACAGCGACAATCAGCTTCTGTGGTGTAGCAGTTAGGTACTACGCCATGGCATGAAGAAGTCCTGAGTTGATTACTATTTAGGGAGAATTTTTATCGAGTATATTTTTGCCTTCCCGCTTAATGTTGTATTCCTCTCTACCTGGGTTGGCTTCGACAGGCAGGGTCGAAAACCTGCCTTCTATATATTATAAACTAATTTATGTCGATAGGGGCGTAAAAATACCAACTAGTACCGTGTGGGTGGTTGGCGAGTGCTCTGGTGTGGTTTGCTTCTTCTTTCCTATCAAACATCTATCGTCTTTATCTCCCCTCCTTTTTTGTGTTTGTTACTCTCTTGCAACACCTCTATAATCTTCTGGCTCTCATATGACCTTATGCAGTTGCGAGCGCCGTAAGACCTCTACTAAAACTAAACTAAGCAACGAGTCTGTGGCGAGCTGTACCAGCTCAGTTATACAATAAATCTTAGCTGATTGTGTAGCGAAGGTCGGACTGCTCTATTCAGTCACTACTGACATCCTTCGGTCTGCTGTTATCTCCTGCACCACCACCAGTTGAAGTGCTGATAAACGTTCGGGTATTTTTCTATTATCTCACTGTTTGTCAAAAAAAGGGTGGGGATTTTAATTTTTTTTTGTGGTTTTTGTTTAATTGCGTGTGTGTGTGTGTGTGTGTGTGTGTGTGCATGTGTGTGTGTGTGTGTGTGTGTGTGTGTGTGTGTGTGTGTGTGTGTGTGTGCATGTGTGTGTGTGTGTGTGTGTGTGTGTGTGTGCATGTGTGTGTGTGTGTGTGTGTGTGTGTGTGTGTGTGTGTGTGTGTGTGTGCATGTGTGTGTGTGTGTGTTTGGGGGGGTGGAGGCGGTGTATTGGTTTTTTCCCCTTTCCGTGGTACAATAATAATATGTAACAATCCTCGTGTTATTGGGTGCCCCTCGTCCCTGTCATTCTAAATAAACAATATGAGCGGGACGAGATTTGTTCGTTTTGCTTTGAATGTGCATTTTTATCCATAAGTCACGTTGGTGGACCTCCAGTCTGTGGGAGAGCCACTGGGAAAACCAGAAAAATAATAAATTATATGAAATTAAACCCAGACTAGAACAGCGAAATCCTTCGGATCTCTCCAGAAGAGACGAAGTCATTTTTACTCGATTGCGCATCGGACACACGGCCCTGACTCACAAATACCTCCTACAGGGAGAGGAGAAGCCGTTCTGTGTCGGATGCGACACAGATTTTACCATTAGACACATTTTAACAGAATGTCTAGACTTTGGAGAGATCCGAAGGAAATATTATAAATGCAAGAAATTGCAGGATATTTTCTCCGTCGTTGTTCCCAGCAGAATTTTAAATTTTATAAAGGCCATTGGCCTTTATGGCGAGTTGTAAAGTGAATCTGATATTATTTAAAATTTTTATTGTTACTTAAAAGTTGTTTTAGATCACAAATGTATTTACACCGAATTTGAATATTTTAACTTTTTAGCATTTTAAAGTAAATTGGTTACCAGTCGTGAAGTGAACTTTCGCAGAGGTGAACAACTTGTGTTTCGCGCGCTCATATGACCTTAGCAGTTGCGAGCGCCGTAAAACCTTATACTACTACTACTACGTTGGTGGATCGACACTCGGAGTTCACCCGAGGGGTTGTCCCGTGACCAAATTCAGCACGCAAGCAGGGATGTAACTGCTTGGCTGTGTGCTTGAAGAAAGCTGCTCCGAGCAGAAATGTTCGCTGAAAAAATTGCTAGCTCGCTGCTGTGTAGTTGTCCAATAGGTACGATAAATGTATAATAGTACTGCCAAGAACAAAACTAGTGACCGAAAAGGGCTCACAGTAGACTTCGGGATATTATACCAGGAAATGACGGTCAGGGGAGACTTTTATAGTAATCGTAAAGCCAGTTGCTCCATCTCCATATTATATAGGTTTCGGAATGGTAATGTTCTTTAGGTGTACCAGTTTCCTGTCTCTTTTCACATAATAATACGGTGTCCTCCCGCCTCCTGTTGTGGGCTGCACCATAATATTTGCCGATGCTGTAAGCCCAAGATAGATAAACTACTGCACCCCCCCTCCCCCCTCCTCTCTCTCTCCTGGCCCTGCTAGGTCACGGAACACATCGCCGGCACGTCATGAACCGATGACTTGCAGATTGTTGTCTCGTTTAAACAGGCTGCAGTTCGGGTATTTTTTTTTTTATTTTTTTTTTGGGGGGGGGTTCAGAGTTGAAGTATTATAGAAAATCTATTGTTATGCTGTCCACAAATTACAAATATAATATAATATGTATTGTCAGTTAAAAGCCTAAAAGCAGAGTGCCATCATTCGGGCCCATTACTGCTTTGATTCTCTCCTCGCTTTTCACGAGAGAGGTTGGAAGTCGTTGTATTAATGTCATTTTCCTTCTCCTTTACAGTATTGCTGATTCGTAATTAGTTCCTCTAGGGAAATGTCCCCGCTATTAATACGTTTACACGTAGTAAATAACTCTTCAAGCAGAACAGCAACGATGACTGCAAAGAACCCACCCTTTGCAGCTAGATCTTATCGCGGTTGCTTAAAATTAAACGGGTGGAGCGGAACCGGGGGGGTCCTGCACAAGTGGATGACAAAAGTCTTTCCTCTTCCTCTT